TACTTCTTTATGACTGTCAAGTTTCTTAGGTGTGGATACAGTAGCATCATGATCAACTACTTTGGTAGGAGTAAGACCAGAATAATCAGATTCTTCTTCTTTATGACTGTCAAGTTTCTTAGGGGTGGATACAGTAGCATCTCCTTCCACAATAATGCTGCATTGAAAAAAAGAATCCTCAAAGAAAACTTCATCATTTGTAGAGCAGTCCTCCCTATGCTCTAAACTTACCACAACAGATGGTACATCTTCATTGCGTTCGACCTCTTCAATCTCTTCAGTAACAGGTTGTACTTCAATAACCTCAACAACCTCAACATTAATTAAAGTTGAACGCATTTCTGTGTCTTTCAAAAATACAGAGAGTGCTTTATCCTTGTCTATGGTAAAAGGAACAACTTTACCAAAGCGTGGGAGTTGAAATGAGATCTTCAGTTTGTGAGACATAGGGTCATAACCCGTCTCTCCGTAGATACACCTCATAAACAGGTCCAAATCCACTTTACTAGGATCCCAATCGAAAGCACCTATCTTAGTGTCACCAGTAAATTTGTACTCTCCTGAATCGTTCTTCTCCCATTTCCCATTGTAATGAATATATATCGGTGTTGAATCCATCTGCATAAACTTGAACATTATTGTTTGACGTTTAAAATATATGACTAATATTTTCGACGTGATTTTGGTCGACACATAGTGGATATCGATGACTACATTTGGTCGACCAGTTCTAAACAGTTCCAATCAGTTTTGTTTTTTCCATTATATATTAAAATTTTCGACTTATTGGTTACAGTTTTCATAACTATTCGACTATATGTACTCGATCATGTAAAAATGTTCGACAAAATTGTGGTCGACAAAGATCAATATGGACCACATTTGGTCGACCATATTCTTGTTTTGATTGTTCAGTACTCTGTATTAGTTAAAATTTTGTAAGTTACTTCTTTTTATAACTATTCGACTATATGATGGTCGAACATATGGTCTACAAATTTAATACCAAAAATTGACTTGTAAAGTGATCGCACGTAGACCATATTATAGCCGACCACTAAAATAATAACGGTTGTGAACAACCAAAGTTGTCGGTTAGCGTGGTTGATCATTTTGTATTTGTTATCCGACCATATGGTTGTATTATATTTGAACATATATAAATTATGACATGAGTTTTATGATTCTACGCACCAAAAAAGCTAGAGAATCTGAATATAATGGAGATGAAGCTTTAACCAACCGTTTAGTATATGTAGCTAATCTTGTCTTGCCGGATGATGGATGACGAAAATCCAAATGCGCTGTACCAAGCTTTTGGTACTGACTGAGTCGATGATGCAGAGGCTAGAGGTTGAAGACAACTGAGAATCTGAAATAAACGTGGAATGATGAAGGAGAAAGGAATGACAATCTGAAATAAATGTTACCGTTGTGAATAAGTAGCCGTTGGGATGTGGTCGTTATAATGTGACGTGTGGAAAGAGGAAGCAGTTATTTAACTGAAGCGGGGTATAATCGGAAGTACGCCAAAACATTTAAACCGACGCGGGGTATAATGGGAAGTAGGCCAATTCATTTAACGGAGGCGGTAGTTTGATAATAACGAACGTTGGCCGGGTAGTTTGATAAATATTAAACCTTTTTAGGGCATTTTAAAAAATCCTCCGTACAAGTACAGGAATGCCCCTATCTCAACGTATCTAATCTCCACCGCTTTCCTCCTCGGATCCCCTCTGGAAGTGAATTTGAATTTGAATCTCCTGTCTCCACAAATAAAATTTAGTACGGGATAATATAAAAAGAAGCGAAGCTTAGGGGAATTTCTTCCTACGAAAAAGAAACACTCAGGTTATCGACTTATCGTCCAAAAAGAAAAAACAAAACTTATTTGCTAGGTACTCCATCCCTTCTTTATTCATAGTCTCCTTAGACTTTGGGATTTTAAGAGGAAAATTAAAAGATGTAGTGATTTGTGTTTAAATGATAAACTAGAAAAGAGAAAGGGGTAAGATAAATAAAAGTGGGAGTAAAAATGTATTTTGATTGAAAAAACTTATCAAAAAGGAAAAGAGTAAGAAATAATTAAAAACGTTTCAAAAAAGAATACGAAACAATTAATAAAGAACGAAGGGAGTATTTGATCGTCATTCTTTTCCATTTTATATGTACTTTTTCATTACTATTTTTTAATAGATATAAAATAGTGATGATGGATAGTAATAGAAATAATTACATAAATATGATCAAAATAAAGATGGTATGCCTGATTGTATACCCACATAGTAAATTCATGATTTTGTGCAACAAAATAAATTAGAATCTAACAAAATAAATAACAAATCTTTACAAAATAATAAACATGATTGAAGTAGGCCTATTTTAAGTATAAACATGTATTGGTGTGATAATATAGCTTAATTCAGTGGTACTTTGGGTTTAAGTGTTTGTGAACCCTTCAACTTCATATATCTCTGTTATGAAACGTCTGACTATCATCCTGTTAGTATAACCTCTCTTTTTCAACTCGTTAGATTAACCATTTATGCCTTAACCAAGTAATTAGCAGCTAAGGACCCAAATCTAACCTAGATTGCCTCCTTCTTGGCATCCTTTCATCTTCTATCGCGTCCGTATTTATTTTCGTTTGTTTTTATGATCACGATTCTTTTATTCAATAAGGTAATTTAATTCCATGTGCACCTTGCAAACCAATTGTTCTCATCATGTGTGGTGCAAGTTATGAAAGTCCAAGAGGCGCACTCACTATCATTTACCCGAGACTTATAGATGTAGACTGTTCGGTCTGCAGGCTTTCTTTTTGGCTACTCATCAAGCTTCTTCCACTAAGGGTTATACCCATTTTTGCATTTTTGTTTGTGTTTTCTTTCACCTTTCTTTACGCAGTTACACAATATTGGGGTGATTTTTTCCCCTACACATTGTGGTGGTATAAAGTGTCTTAGTTCTATCGTTCATGAAATTTGATAAACTCAAGTTTACAGTCATGTATATATGCTCATTAGCTCATGCCATTTATTTGGAGGCCTTCAATATTAGGTATCCAATGTAGGAGGTTTAAGTACTGGGGTGTTTTTTTAATTTTACAACAGTTAGTCTATTTCCTTGTTATATTTTTGTCATTGTGTATTAGAGATGGAACTTCCATTTCAACACAATTATAATATTAAATGATCATTTTGGTTGGTTCTTACACACCCACGATGTACCCCTTAAAGTTTTCCGGATTTATACTTTATTAGTGTTTAGCCAAGCTTAGGTCTTTATTTAAAAATGAAAAGCAAAATGAATGGAAGTATAACATTAATTTATTAATACGAATGCTAACAGCTAGTCATATCTTTATCTAATTTGCGCTCTCTGTTGCAATCCCTGCCACAAGTATGAAACTTTTCTTCCCTTTAATTTTTTCATATCATTTTGTCTTTGGCATTTACAACGGCTAGATGTGTGAATTATGTCTGTGACCTAAACATGTGAATTATTATAATAACATTATTGTCTGTGACCTATATATGCATAGGGGGGCTTCCATGAGTTGTGTCCATCAAGATCTAACTATCTAAGCACATTGATGATTCATAGGAGTAATATTATTCTGTGGTGTATTAGAATATGTTATCAGGATTAGGAGTAGAAGAACAGACACCATAGACTTTGAGAAACCTTTTCTGTCAAAAAATACATACGTTTATAGGCTTAAATGTAGCTGAAAGTTTAGGTATCTTTAAGACTGATTATGTCCTTAAAGGACATAAATAGAACTCTAATTTTGAAAATAATAATGTTATTTCACGTGATAGCTTACAGCTAACTGAGTATATAAAAATCAATGTGAATGTGTATTTGATGTTCCTTTTCTAACTATTACTTCTTCCGTTCTTTTATAATTGCAACACTTTCCTTTATTGGCAATTTCAAAATAATTGTAACATTACGACTTTATTAACCTTAGTAAAAACAACTCCATAATTTATTTATCTCTTTGATTGATTCACCTACCACTTTAATTACACCACACACACCTCATCTTCATGAATAATCTCCATCTCCCCTTCTTATTTTCTTACCTTTCATCTTATTCTTATATCTTCTTTCTTTATTTAAATCTACAAAGTTGTAGATCTAAACTTCCACTTCCACAAGTTGTATTTTGATTTCTTGAAAAAAGGTTTGATGTATATCTTAGAGCAGGTAGCGGGTGAAGACAAGTCCCATAAGAGGAAATAAATGGCTCGTGGAAGGATCCTCAAGCTCAAGTAGGGCTCCACAAGTACAAGAGGAGGATAGGTCTGACAGAAGAACGAAGGGAGAGAAGGTGGATACGTCGATATGGTTCTAGGAGCTAACGAGGAGCCATCAGGGGAATAGAAGCGCAGACGTATCTGGGAGGCTGTGGAAAAAGAGCACCGAGGGACGATATGGCACTAGATGGAATGAAAAACAGAGAGGAGACAGGCTTAGAGGGGTAAGTCCGTCCCCGACACTGGTGCAGAAGGTGGAGCCAGGGTGGTGCTTTTTAGTGGTTGCTGGAAGACCGTGTGAAAACTTTTACTTTATTGCTTTAATTTATTTTGAATTTTTTTTGTTATCTGGTTGTGCCTTTCTTTATTCTTTCGGTTGTAAGACTTTGGATTTGAGTTTGGATGTGGGTGATGATTTGATTGCGATTATCGGCATTGGCTCATTTGTGCCCACAAGTGGATCAGCGAATTATATTACTGAGGTGATTAACTCTGAGTCTGGTTCGACGAACGACGGTTTTCAAAAGTTTTATTGTCAGATTACCTCCTATCTCAATGATGTGTTATCAATGTAAGTCTCTTTCTTTCTGCGAAAATGTAACTAATGTTAGAAGATTGAGCTGATTGATCCTATTCTAATGTTAAATGGGTTCATAATATCACATGAGAGAAATGAAAAAAATTGTTACTAGGTATTTATTCAAAATAAAAGTGATGTAGAAAGGAAATTGGAAAGGAAAGTGATGCAAATGAGAGGAAGTCTTTTTCAAACAAGAAAGAACAAGCACTGATGAGTGAGCAAGCAATATAGACTCCCTTTACGACTGTCTGAAATCTGAACAAACCAACAAACTCAACAGAAAAACAATGGCGACGACCTCTCACGACCTCCCATGGGAGATAATCACAGATATTCTGTGCCGATTACCGCTGAAAGATGTGCTGCGGTACAGGTCCGTATCGACGTCCTGGTGCTCCCTGATCGACGGCCGCGATTTCGTCAAGCTCCACTTCAAGCACTCTCCAGAATCGACCTCCCAACTCGGCTTCATATTCGGAGGCGCCAACGACCTCTGCTGGGCCGCCTTCAGCGATCTCACCTCATTCATACGACTCACTTACCCGATAGGCGATGACAAAGGCATCACCGTCGCGGGTAGCAGTAACGGACTGCTCGCTGTTATGAATTCCAAGGGAGATGCGGCTATTTGGAATCCTTTCACGCGAAGTCGAAGGTACATCAGTTTACCCATTTCTGACCATTTTGGTTCCTTCCCGTTCCATTCATTTGAAATTCTCCTCACCGGATTTGGGCACGATCCGATCACGGAGGACTATAAGTTTCTATTGATGATCGAATTTAATGGGATAATGGATCACTCGTTTACCCGTGAAGTCAAGGTTTATAGTCTTAAGGCCAGGAAATGGAAGCGAATCGATCATTTTCCTAGCAATTACACTTACCTCCGTAACAATGGCTTCCTTTTTGGAAATGCTTTGCACTACTGGATGGTGAAGGTGAATCCGGATAATTGGGATACCATACTTGTGTTTGACTTGGTGACTGAAAAGTGCCAGGAGATGGGGTTGCCAGATTACAATGGCCTGGAGACCTGTAGCTGCTTGAAGCTTGTGGATCTTCGAGGATCTTTTTGTGCTGTGATGGTGCCGAATTACGACCCTTCGCTTGAGATATCAGAACGGGTTGATGTGTGGGAGATGAAGCAGTACGGAGTTAAGGAGTCATGGACTAAGCTGTTCTCCGTGGCAACTTCAATTGCAACTGGTCCCTTCAACTATTTGGTACCCATTGCATATTTGCAGAATGGTGACCAGGTTTTGCTGGAGCAGGATGGTAAGAAGCTCATTCTGTTTGATATGAAGACGAAGAGGGTCATGAAAAGGGTGGGTTCCAGTTTTCCATACATTTGTGATACCATTGTTTTTGTAAAAAGCCTGGTTGGACTTGATTCTGTACAAACAACAAGTTGGAATAGTAAACAGGGGAAGAACATCAATGTCTTAGGGAAGAAGAAGCAAAGTGGTAAAAAAAGGTAAAGCCAAAATGGATTTTACTAGTATGAGGAAGCGTATCTTCCGTACTCATTATCAGGTTTTACTTGTGATTACCACTCTAGTGTTGACTGCTATCTGACTGGATTTTATTTCTACCTATGTTTGACTAGAGATGATTTCCTGTCCAAGGGTTTCAAACTTGTGTTGTAAAAGGCGGATCTATAGAAGAAGATCTGAGGTATAATTACTACTGCCTTTTCTGGTTGAGTTTGTTATGTTTTTTATTTTTCTAAATAAGCATGCACCTGCAAATTGTATTGACCAAAAGAGGAGACCATTTCTTGATTTATGCGTGTCATCCTTGTGTAAGGGCATGCTATTTCTTTGTATCCTTCTGATTTTATTTGTTCCCCGATATGTAAATTAGGAACCACAAGGGGTAGTATATCTATGCTACATAAGACTAGAAGAGTATGGATAATGTATCTTGTTGTCATTGTCCCTTTCAGGTTGCTGATGCAAGGTTTTAACCAAGGGTTAACTGATATAGATAGTATGTAACAGTCTCTTCAGATATGGAGTCTAATGAGTAATATGAAGATATGTCAAACTCGGCTTTAGGATCACATTAGCAGTGCATCTGTTATTAAAGCTTTACTTTGATACCTGGCTTGTTTGTGGAGTGTCCTTAGGGAAGATATGGTAAAAATGTGCTACTGATGGTTTCATGTCTTGGAAAGTATTGCCCTTACTGCTATATTTGTATAAGCATTTACAAGAGATTCCCCCCTAACAATAAGCCCCAGGTAAAATAGAAGGGGTAATTTGAGTTTGCACCCTATTTTATTGTTCAAATTGTATTTTGCACCCCGTTTTAAAAAAAACTTTGTTTTTGCACCACTAATCCCATATGAAAAGACAAAAATGTCCCTCCATTAACAATTATGTTGCCTTTCAACATATTCCTGATCGAAATATTTTTGTCTTTTCATATGGGATTGGAGTAGAGTGTTGGGCCTGCATGATCATCTTTAGAAAGCACATGTAGTTCATTTGTGCGTTGAAAAGGATGAATTTTTCCATCGTAATGTTAGTAAAAGTGCTTAAAATAATAGTATCACACATAAAATATACTCCGTATATTCATAATGTTGGTGCCTAGCAACTCTCAAGACTCAAGTCAGTGTCGGGATCCTAAGAAATGGAGTGTATCCTTTTTTCATATTCATAATGATGGTATGGATTGTTTTATAATTGGATTATTGATCGACTGGACAAAAAAAATCAGGCCATATGGCCCATATCTTCATAAAACAGTTGAATTCAGAGGAAGTAGAGAAACAAAGAAATGACATGATACCACTTGGGTATCTCTATTCGAATCCATGCTATCATTTTCAAATTTTCATAATTTCTAAAGGTTAATATTGATGTAAAGTGAAATAAAATCATCAATTTCACATTCTAATTCAATAAAGTCAAGTTCACGTATCTCGAAAAAGAACGATTGTAAAAGCTCGTTATGTAGTTGTAGTTGGTTGTTAAATACTTAAATGGAGATGGTAAAGATCTGCTCCATCCAAGTATCCAACCATGAAAAAGAAAATAACATAAAATATTCACTTTTTTTTTGAGCAAATATTCGTAGACTAAAAAATACAAACTAAACAAATATTGATTAAACAATTATTTAAATTAAATAATTATATCCGTAGCGATTAAACAATTATTTAAATCTCCATTCAAAAAACAATTGTTTAAATCTAGATTAACTTAGCCATTCATCTAGTTAAAATCACCTTTAACATTATATTGGGGGAACCCAGTATAATACTCCCATAGAGTCATAGAGAAATAATGTCCCTAAAATATTAATCAGAAAACTAAAATACCGTGTGAATTATAACGAGTTTATTGAATTATATTGGGGGCATCCAGTATAATACTTACCTTTAGTACAATACAATGACTTCTGTTATTAATCAGAAAAATGTTATATAATCTATTACCTCCTTATTTTGAAACTAAGTGGTAAATAAGTCTGAATTGTCAAATTGTAAAACGCGAAACTAAATATACAATAGTTGGTGGTTCATAAATAAGTGATATAAATATCTGTAAATGCACTAATACGAGCGTGCAAAGATTTATGTAATTTATGTTATATACAATTGTTTATGTTATTTTCTTTTTCGATAAATCAACTCCCATAGGGTCATTTAACATAACTCCTAAGGTCAATAAATACCGTGTGAATTTTAGTATTTTTACCTAAAATATTTAAGATTTAAAATCTAAATCAATAGTCAAAATTCACCGTGTGGCCTCTAAATTATCGCAAGACAAAATATAACCATGCCCGCTAGGTGTAATAATTGTTTCTTCTGACCATGCCTTTATTCCCCACCTTTTAGTGCTGATGAAGAAAAATACGGAGTATTAAACGAAGTAACGAACACACAAAGTCACAAACTCCATTATAGTCTTACTTCTTTATGGATAACGTTCATTTGAATTCAAAGATAAATTAATGCCAATAATCACTTTTACTTTTTTATTAATCAAATTATTACTACGTATAATTTACTTCTTACTTATTATTCACTTCTCAAATTATAATTAGTGCTCAATCTGTAGATCATGCTCGTATTAGTGCATTTACAGATATTTATTCCACTTATTTATGAACCACCAGCTATTGTATATTTAGTTTCCCGTTCTACAATTTGACAATTCAGACTTATTTACCACTTAGTTTCCAAACAGGGAGGTAATAGATTATATAACATTTTTTCTGATTAATAACAGATGTCATTTCGAGTAGCATGAGCAGACACACTGCGGTACGAGTCTACATTGTTGCAGGGTTAGCGAACATGAGTGCTTTTATATGTCGTTTTTGTTCTTTGTCTCATCTTAGTGTAGTATTGAACAATATGATTGTAATGTTTCGGCTTTTAGTTGTAATCTTTCTTGTTAAGATCTGAGTATCAATGAAATGGTTATTTTACTTTAAAAAAAACTGAAGTCATTGTATTGTACTAAATAGATTATACGATCGTATAACATACAACATACTTAATAATATTGTATCAATCGACAATCTAAAAGCATGCTCATTCATAAATTTTTTAGAAGATTAATTTGGTCATGATTGGGTGATGTAGATTAAAACATGATTACAAATTACTTTAAGATAATTTGAGAAAATAGAGACAATATGTGATTATAGGACTAATAAAAATTAGTTAATTTGAAGTTGGTAGTTTTTTTTGATAAAATTTCACAAATGTTACTCTTTGAAATCTGACATACAAAAATATTACTTACTACTACGTAACTATTAGTCACTACATTTAAAATTTACACCATAATAACTAAATGTTAATTACTCTGATGTAATCTTCGATCATAATTATAGTCACTAATAATTATTAAGTCGCATCCCTATCAATGTTTTTTTAATAATACTTAAGAAAAAAAAACCTTTTGGACACTATCTAAGAATAATATAATAATATAAGAGTTATTTGAAGATGATAGTTGAGAATAAGGTTGTATACGAACCGAATCGAGTCGAATAATGAGATTTTGCATTTGTATTTGTATTTGTTTAATTTTTTTGAATACGAATTAGAATTCAAATATGAAACGAATATTAATTTTGATTTGTATTTGTATTTGTTTAACAATACGAATAGTTAACGAATCATATATGAATATCGAATCGATTTGAGCATAAGTTAAATATTAGTTAAATATTACTTAAAAATAACTTTTCTTATACTCCGTATTGTTTATGTTGTAAATGAATGCTATGAGTTAATATGTGTTCTTAGAATTTAAACTTAATGGATCAACGCATTTTTTAGATGATGTAAATAAAACTATTTCAAACTTTTTGAAATAAACACTAACACACATATTAGATATTATACTTATAATGTGTGAAATAAGTTGATAATTGTATATATCAAAGTCAATCAACTCTAATTTTAATCTTCAAATCGAATATATAATTATTTGTATTGTATCTAAAAGTTATCTGAACCAAAAATTGTTTTGTATTCGTATTTATATTCTGGTTTATTACAAATGAGCTTGGAATCTGTATGCAAAAATGTATATATGAGCTACACTTTGAGGGTATTGTTATCTTTTAAAAGTTATTATACTGTTGTTATTATTATTAATATTAATATTGATATTAATATTACCATTATTATTAATCAAATATATTTGATTAATATTCGAATTGAACACACTGATATTTTTATTTGTATTTGATAACAACTCGAATCAAATTTAATATTCTTATTTGTATTTGAATTTTCCGAATTCGAATCGTCTTAAGCAAATTCGAATCACGAATCGAGCACAAATTATTTGATTCGTTTACAACGCTAGTTGAGAATAATATAGGAGCTTTTAGATTATTAAAAACATAATTATGAGACAATGACTCATATTGAGAAACACAAAAATTTAACTTTTTAGAGATCATCAATGTAAATGCTTTAATATTAAGAGTAGAGGAGATGAAGTCAAAGCAAAAGATAAATTAAAAATATGGACAATTTTTAGATATCCCAAGTTAACTAAGTTAGAGATTACTTTGGCAAGACAAAAAGAGTAATTCAAATTTTATACAAAATATTTTATAATTGACATGGTTAAAAACTGATCTCTCATAAATTAGGTGAAGTTTTTGTTTTGCAAGTAAAATGAAGTGATTTTTTTTGTCAAAAAATGAAGTGAAGATAATGGCACAAAAGTAATGAATTGGGGAGGAAGTTCTTATACAAACAATTTAGAAGCAGTCTATAAATTCCTGTGTAAATAGAAAAGGAAAAGGAAACACAGCAGCAAAAAAGTACTCAGTAATAAAATACTGTCCGGGCAGACATAACCACCGTAGAAGAGTGTTGAGAGAGAAAGGGAAGTAAAAACAAAGATTGCACGGCGGCGGCGCGCTCGGAGGTGACTTGTGGTTGAGGAGCGATGCTTTCTTTGAGGCTGAAGATTTGAACGGATTGCCAGATATTTCGCCTCTGAATAATGGAAGGTAAACACTGAACTATGCCATCTTTTTCTTCTGCAAAACCCTAAAACCTATTGGTCGGGTTGACTATAGGTTTTACTCAAGTATGGCAATTGATCCCAAATGTGTGGTCATTTGCTACCAAAAAGTGTTACCTGATCAAAATGTTTATAAATGTTATGTTTGATCGTGCCTTTGCTCTGATCCCCAGTTGAAGGCTCATTATTTTTGTATGAATTACTCTGTTCTCGAATAATGAGAAAGTGAATATAACTTCCTTTGGTTTATAAGAAAGCTTAAGTACTACAGAGGGGATATGAAGATGGGAAGCCTTAGTTGTTGTTTTTTTGAAAGGATGGGAAGCCTTAGTTTGGAGGCTTATTTAGTATATTTTTTTTATCCAATGAAATTACATTTTTGGTCAATTTAATGCTTGCACTTATTGAGTATTTATGTTCCTAAACCATCTTCTGCAGCTGTAGCAAAAGAAAATCATTTTTTTAGTGAAAGACATTATGATTCCCTTCATACTAATTTGCACTAATGTGATAACAAAAAGAATATATTTTTGAAAAAAACTATACAATTGTTTCTTTTGTTTGATATGAATGATATTTTGATTTGCTTTGAGAGTAAACAAGGAAGTGAAGGAACTGTGTTTTGTTCTTGAAGTTTTCCACCTTGTTATACTTTTAATTCTTGACAACCCTAAGTTGGGAAAATGATTTGATTTTTCAAACAAAGTTTAATTTTTTCTCAAAGTTACAAAATAATAAAATCTTCTGATTCAGATCTTGATGTAACATGCGTGCTAATTTCTTTAAA